CGTCTCATCGAGAATTCAAGAGTACTTTACAGTCAGTCCTGGGAGGATTCTCCGCAGTAGGTGGTCTGTGGACATTCATAGGTGGTCTTTCGGAATGAGCCTGATGCTCACCCCTTAGCTTATTTGTCGCTAATGTTCGAGTTTTACCTAGGTTCCAAGTCGTTGTCTATTTTCGGCATTGCGCAACAATTAGAGAAGGACAATATCGCGAAGGGTTTCCTTCAACACTACCCTCTCATTCGACAGGGACTGAACCTTCCCAGGACCATATTCTCAATGTCAAGATCTTTGAAGAAATCCTTGACAACCCAAGAACTCCAGAGGAAAAGCATACACCTGCTTATGATGACGAAGAGTTGCATTGAGCAGGAGTCCTTCCAGGACTCAACTAAGGCTTTCCCAGCTATGTAGAACCTAGGTGGAATCTGGTTGAAGAAGTCCTAGATCGATTTTATGTGATGCAGAAATGCCGTTGATCGGATTATGAAAATGTGTTAAATTCATTCTCCGACAAAATGCTAAGTCTGAGGAAAGGCAGTCCATTTCACTTTGGCTCCTACCACCCATCTATCGCTCCTTTCGTTGTCATGCCCGTCTATGTTGGTCCTATCGTTGATGTAGATAATCCTTTATACTGTCCTGCATTTCAGTATGCAGGAAAAAGGCAAACCTGGACTTTGAAAAAGCCTGTGGACTTCGTCTATGATAACTCCTATAACATTAGCTCCTCTCGGAAAACTATACGGGATGACTTCAACCTGACGAACTCTCCTTCTGATCTTGCTCGTGCGCGAAAAGAAATCCGGAGGAATAGCTCGAACAAAACAGTGGGCCATAAAAGAAAATTCGAGGACTCCGACTCTGAGGGCTTCACGGATCTTGTTGCTCCCACCAAATATGCTAAATCTGTTTCTTCGGGGCCTGACAGCTCTTTTGATCTGCTCCTGCGAAGAGAGAGCCTGAACTATGATAATTTCAGAACATCCTCGTCGACCACTAGGTCTCTCTATCCTGACTGCCGAGGCCTCCAGCACCCGTCCTCTATCGCTGTTAGGCTCGATTCTATCCTTCCGGGTATCAGGCTATATGACAGGCTTCAACGCATCCAAAATCCCAACTCCCGAGCGCTCTTTACGTTCCTTGCAGAAAATGGTATACACTATAGGGGGATCACGGTTTATCTCACACTAAACCTTTATCAGGATACGTAAATGAGGCCGTGCTGGATGTTTTGGGCGACTCGGACTTGGATCGCATAGAGCTTAAGCCCTCAATGTTCCATGCTCACTACAATGTCTACTGCTCCAAAATGTTTCGGGGTTTGTCTTTGCTGCTGGATTTGCTGGGGGTATATGCTTCTCACACTTTGTCGTTAGCGTTAGGTAAACCGCAAAAGTACCAGGCTTTGACAGAACTATCGCTCTGTGGTTTGAAATTGGGTGATTCCGATATCATATATTTTCATCACCTGCCCCGCCTCTCCATCATGCTTTTGGACGACACAGGCCTAGGGAACGAAGGGTGAGTATTTTTACTTAGGAGCTATCACATCTACGACTTGATCATTCTTCGATCAGAATCTTTCTTTTAGTCCCTCTCAAGCGTACCCTCACCCGTCTCTCGCTTGCTGCAAACCCCCATGTGGGCGATGATTCCGTCCCAGCCTTAATTCTGCTACGGGAGCTCGTCTTTCTTTCCATCATTGGCACGAGCATCGAGATGGGAGGTCTGCGTCGTCTTGCTAAAGCCATTCACACCGAAAAGCGCATCATGGACATCGAAATACCTACTATATGCGAGACTTATATCGACAGTATGCTTACTCGTTTCCATTTTTGTTGCTACCTCTGCTGACAACCCCGCAAGATATACACAACAAATACCTCGTCGACATCAAGCCTCCGCTCATTAAAGATCCCACACTCTGCCCAGTGCTTACGGTTACAGCCCTGAAACGGAACTTGGAGGCGCACGCAAAACGCAATCCGAGCATCTTGGTCTCTGGGTCATCACAGGAGCTATCACATCGACTGGCTGAAATACTGCGCGTTCGGCAGCTGGACACTCTGGTATTGGAATTGCTTGATGGATGATCATTATAATCTCTTGCTTGGGATCGCTGCTGATGAATCGATACTGTTACACTATACCTACTTGAATGATTTTGAACGCTATGCAACAATGAAAAGGTCCGCCTCGTTACCCCAAAGTCTGTTCCCCAAGTCACATAAATCACGTTAATTTCGTGATGAGGGAGAGTTAGCAAGACTCGATCTCCCTTCGAATACTTCTTATACCTGTAATCGGAATGCGACACTTGCGTCTTTGCATCCTATTTATCTCTTTGACACTACCGCCATCGACAGCTAAGTCGGATCGCCCAATCCATAAGAACGGTGGAGCTGAGCCTATTCCAACTACTCCAAACCCGCCAGTCGACAAAGCGACTGACGTTAAACTGGTGAACAGGCACGGCAGAACAGTCAAGCTTCGCCTCTTCCTCGACAACTTCCAATTGGTTGTGACGTCCACCTCCCAGGATATGAGCGAGTCCACAAGAGAGACGAAGCTGCATGAAAGGCGGAACAGAACCGGCCAAGATGTGGTACCAGGACCTCGCCGACTTCACAACTTCGTGGATAGACAGCTGGCCTCGTGGAAAGCGCTGTCTCCGACTTGGGATCAAATTAATACCTCTCGTACCTTGGACGAGTTTGATGTTAAGCCGCTTCCATACAACTCTATCAAGTTGGAGTTCAAAGCTCGACGACGCCTCACCGCACCACACCACGAAGGCGATATGAGGCAAGGAGACTCGCCGAGCACAGAAGACGTCGCCGATACGGATGCACTCGATGACTGCAGCAAAGAGACCGCCGAGTTACGTGCTCACAACGGCGTCAACAGCGAAGGTAGTATCGTCGCATGGTTTCTGGTCGCTTGTATTGTGGCACAGATTTTGACGATGTTGTCGCTTTTGGGGGTGTGGTCACCCCGGCGTTCAATTGCATGGCTAGGCGATATTTATGAGGCAATTACAAACGATGTAAATCAGTTGGGACTTCGCTTCTTTGAGCCTCTCGCCTCCTTCATCTGTCGATTTGTTCGAAGTGCGTTGAATGAGGTTCTGGCTTTGTCCTCTCGCGTCCAACAAAGGCATCGAAGCAACACAGCCGCCACCTCCGAGTCCCTTCACTCGTCTCGTTTCCCGCCATTCTTGAAACCTGGAACATCAGCTGAAGAGATGGCTTACTTACATATTCCCGAGGGTCCACAAACATCTGCGTCGTCATCCGCTTCTTCGTTCTCGTCCTACACGTCGGAACTCCCATTCCTTTCAAGTTGGCGTGCGAAACCGGATCGTAGTCCCTATAACCCCATCAACTTCGATTTCGTGCGCTGCTTAGGAGAGGGGTACTTTGGAAAGGTCGTGCAACTCCAACACCGGGAGAATGGTCAGATGGTTGCTGTCAAAATCATGGCCAAGAGGAAGACTACATCTGAGAGGTCACGTCCGGATTCCAATGGAACGCTCTTGAACTCTGTATCTCAAGGTAGAACGTGCAGCTCTGAGTGGGGTGGCACCGTTGATCTTGACACTGTGCAACGCGAAGTTCGTGTCATGACTCGTGTCCAAAACTCTCCGTATGCAGAGTGGTCTCCGAGGGTGTTGAGTACGTTTTCAAACGAGGAGAGTTACTTCATTGTCATGGTGGGTTAACTTTTTCTCGAACAACGGTGCGACGCGCTAAGATATATCTCCAGCCTTTCTATGAACGAGGGGATATCATTGAATGTATGAAGCGCGGAGGAGGTTGTGTTAGTCGAGGTTTAGCGAGGTTTTATATTGCAGAATTGGTACGTGCTTCGTTGTATTAAGGGAACGAAGACCTAACGAGATGTTACTTAGATTTCTGCAATTCATTTCTTGCATACCCTTCGAATCGTTCATAGGGATATCAAACCAGACAACCTTTTATTGGGCATCGATGGTCATCTTGTCATCGCCGATCTGGGTATCGCCCACATCTTTCGTGAGACATCGTCTTTTGAGAGCTTACCCGAGATGTTCAATGGCCCGGTTACTTCGCCCTTCCATTTTCCTAGCTCGGACTCTGCTGTTTGGCTCGACGACGACGACTTCGCTAAATGGGAGGAGGGAAAAAAGAAAGGAGGAGACGATTTCCCATTCTTAAATGCGAGCACGGATAATCCCCATGTTATCACTGGAGAACAAGGTACCCCAATCTACGCAGCTCCGGAGGTCTTTGCTGGTGGTAAATACAGCTACGGAGTGGACTACTATTCGATGGGCATCGTGTATCATCATATGCTCACCGGATACTTGCCGTTAGAAAATGGAGGGCCTATCGACGCCAATGACGCCAATTCGGATAGGCGCTGGATCTTGGACCTTCGAAGGCACGATCGGCATTTGCAGGTTTTGTCCACGAAGGAAAGGAGTTTCCTCGAAAAGGTGAGCACCGAACCTGTAAATCCTGGGGCTTGAAACTAGTCAGGGGATTCTAACTCCAGTACACAAGGTCCTGCAGCACGACCCATTCAAACGGCCTGGTGTTTCGAAAATGAAGGCAGATCCCCTATTTTCTGATATGTAAGCTGCACCTATCCATGGTTTCCCAAGGAAGAACTAATTTTGGACCTTTAAAGTGATTGGGATAAGATAGGACGGCGAGAAGCGATTGTACCTCCCGCTCTTAGAATACGCAGACGTGGATCTTTGGAACTGGCGACTGCTCGCTGTGAGAGCGTGACGTTTGATTTGAGGTAAGCCACAGCTTGAGGCCTCAGCTCGTGCTGATCTCGTCGCGTTCAGCTCTACCTCCTCAGTCGATTCGAATGTAGGGTGAATTTCGGAATAGCATAGTAGTTATAGTTTTAATAGTCTCATTTTTGTAAAGTAAAGCATGCCATTTCTAGTGGGTTAAAATACACCGATCCATGTGCTACAACAAAACCAATAAGGCAACACTTTACAAGCCCGCCTAGCTCAATCGGATAGAGCGTCAGACTTTTAAGTCTACCTCATGTTAGGCGACAAAGGCGATCTGAAGGCTGCGAGTTCGACCCTCGCGGTGGGCTACTGTTTCTTTTTCCTTTTTTGTGTCCTTCATCCACATCTGGCAGTCACACTTGAGCCGCTTTCTGGTTCGAACGTTTGTTTCTTCTTTTTTGCTACTGTGAGGATTTTAGGTGGGTTCTTTTGTGTCATGTTTGGGGGTCTATTGAATAGACCCTGCGTATTTACTCTCATGCTCAAAGGTGAATAGAGATGCGGTTCTTTATTTATATTGGTTACTTGTACATGTTTCGTTTATATTTCAAACGTGGGTGCTAAGTCAAAGGGACGCGCTCCCATGACTCGGACTCATCCATCCAGGTTGGCTTCGAGAAGTTATCGTAAGCCTCCCTCAATCTAGCCTTCAAACTCTCCATTGACCGAGCAGAATCAGAATCGCGCATCAGATCTTCTGGTTTTGGACCTGATGTCAATGGTCTGTTGTTCTTCTCCTTGAGCGAGGGACTGCGACTTCGATTGCGGTGGGGTTTCATCGAGTCGAAGGGGCAATGCGAGACTATTACGATCGAGGGTGGACGGGCTATCGGTGAGAGACGTTGACGCGCTGGGCGGCTAAGTTCACTTGACGGCTTACGACTGTGATTGGGTCCTGTAGATTTCGCTGCAAGGAGAGGCCTTATGATAGGAGTGCGTGTTGGGGTAGGGTTTGGATGATTATTTGGCGGTGTATGTTTCATAAGCGGCGGAGATGGCAGTTTCGTAGAGTAGATGACAGAGGGCTTGGAGTAGGCTGTGTGCCGGTAAATGTCCTTGTAGTTCAGGATATCTGCTTCGACAACAGTGTTGGGCATAGTTAGCTGATTGTCGGTGAATGTCCAAAGACGATTACGGCGCTCTGAGAAAGGAGTGGTAGGAGGCGTCGTAGGTTCAGAACCTTTCTTGTCCGAGATGAGATCAAAAGCAGGACCAAGAGCCGTAGTACCAATGTCAAGTTCGCGGTGGTGATTTTCCGAAGCACTCTGAGATGAAGCAACAGGAGACGGAGAAGCAACCTCAAGACCTAGAGGGGGCGGAAGACTATGGCGCATAGTTATCTCGCAGAAGTACATATCCAGATCGAATACATCAGGGTAGGGCAACAGCTCAAGAACAGCTTCAGAAAGATCTTTCCTACTTCTGTAAGACGCTCGACTAGCCAGCTGCAAAGCCTGCAAATCATGAGCAGCGACGATCTTTTGCTTCCTTGGAGGGGTGCTGGTCATGTAAGAGGGCAGATTGGGGTCAGCTATATCGTTCCTATCTGTATTAGTAGTCCAAGAAGGGAAATCCCAGGGGTATGTCATTGCATCGATTTTGGCGTCGTGGTGATTCCGAATAGTGGATTCGGCCGCTGGAGGCGAGGGAGATTCGGGTGGTAGGAGCATGGAGTCAGAAAAACAGCTTAAATGGTCGCCCTCAGGATATGAGAATGACGAAGGCGACTCTGAACTTGCTTCGGAGAATCGGAATGGGTTATCAAAGTCTTCAAGGATGTCGTGAGCATCGGCGGTGTTGAAACGGATGCGCTTCCCCGTTGACTTTTCCTTGTCTCGCCGACGTCGGGATGGGGTTCTGTTCGTCTTGAGAATTGTAGGAAAAGGTAGGATGGCCCTATATGACGCGATCGTCATGTCCAGCGGAGAGCCTACAGGAGATGCAAACTGGAGCTGTTCTTCCGATGGCTTACTGCTATCGACCGAAGGGGTGCAAGGTGTGACAATGACAGCGGGAAGGTGCGGAGATATTGATTGGGGAACGAGACTGTCCGAGCATGCAGGGTGCTTTTCTTGCCCTATATAGTGGTCCCAATGATTCCCCGAATTCCCTGGTGTGGCAACGGACCGTTGAGTCCCGTCAGCCGTACGTGTACTTCGATGGGAAGAGGACCGTCGAAGGCTGGGATGTCGCAGAAATTGTTCTTTTTGAGCCTTCCAGTTTTCTAGTCATGATAAGCAGGTTCAGTATCGTATTTTTTCGGTGTTTAGCGGAGCATGCGTACCTGGTTCAGATCTAGCCTTGGTTCCAGAGCTGGCATACGTTCTGGATCGAGCCGTATAAATAGTCGACGACGCCGTTGATACGGGAAGAACAGTAGGCGCAGAAGACGAGCTAGAGAAGTATGAGGTGAAGATGACCCAGACATGAACGAGAAAACCAAGGATCGGGTTGCACATGGACGAGGAGGGGTAAGTAGGTGTGGGCGGCTGGAATTATGGACACCATTTTACAGTGACCATCTGTGGCTGACTGACAGAACAGAGAGAGTCGAGCCGCAGGAACACCTTGTGTTAGGTGAAAATAAGTTCATCGTCCAACATTGAGTCGTCGCATTCGTGAGACGGAGATGCGGTGGCCAAGCAAGCTTTGCATACAGCGGTGGCAGCAGTGGGTATACGGAGCAACAGAGGAAATTACAGTGGATCTATGTCGCTTCCATTGAGGTGGCATTAACTTGGAGATAGACACTGAGCGGTGGTAGTCTGAATTACAATCGAGACTGAAGCAAGCCGAAATGAATCCTCTTGATCCCTAGACCAGAATAGCACATGTTAAAGTTGGTTGAGTGCATTGTCATAGCAAGAATACCAAATACGAATTGGGCAACCTTGCCCGGTATTCTTGAGCAGTAAAAGTCCCGCCAAGTCTCCTTATGACTGAACTGGATAGGTGTTGGTGTTGCTCACTGTGAGAGAATTATGAGAGAATGTACTGTGAACAGGGGTTATTGTCCGAGGTTTGTATTCGTATGGATGTCTGAACTTCTATTGTTCAACTTCGGATTTTATCGCCGTTCAATTATCGATGTGGCTTTGGGGGACACTCTGGAAAACGACATTCAGGGTTCTTGGGCTAACATTATACGGATCAAATTGGCTCACTTACGTATATACTCAAGTCTCACACATGTCCACCACCTGCTTCGCTTCTGACCCCACATTATCCTTGCTTGGAGGCCACTAGGCAAACAGCACACCTCTAGGGCTCAACGTGGCATAGATGTAAGGAGACAGTCATACTACTTTGACCATGGACAATCATCATCAACGACATCCACGAAGAGAATATCGACGAAGGAAAGCGGTATGTGTTGGAAATAGTATTATTTTTCAAAATAATCGTCTGATTATCGTTTTTTGTCATCAGAACCTTCCAAAACATAGTTCATTACCAGGACTTCACCTTGTAGCAAGCCAACAGCAGTTATTTCATTGTAATCGTTGCGGATTCATCAGCACACTCCTACCGCTTTGTTTATGGTGCACTTGGGCCCTCAACGAGGCCGGACGCGAGTTGCAACCCTCTAAAGGACCCACTAGACGCGTTAGTTCACCTGCCTTGCTGTTTATGCACGTAGAAGCGCGTCCAAGCCAACGAACCCAACGTGGAAGTACTAAACAAGCTTCTGCATATCATGGTCCCCACGAATCAAACTCCATGTCATCATACCCACCGTCAGTGGCGCTGGCCGCCAATGTTTTGCAGCAGGATTGTATACCAAGGGATCAACGAAAGACAGCATCAACGTCGTCATTTTCCCTATCGAATTTGGGCAGGAGGCTTGGGAGGTCATTGAGTTTGGAGTCAACGGAGGCTTTTAATTCTCCAGATAACGGCACTTCTCGAAGCAAAAACACGCCTCCGACCCCTTCAGTCCACGACAGCTCTGGTCAATCTGGCAGTGGTCAACCTCTCCAACCTCCTGAGTCTCTAGCGGCCATGTGCGCAAGCGGCGACCACGTTTCTCCGCGTCGTCGCGTCATCACTAATGACCTTCCCGACGTCGACATACCACATTGGTCAGATGTTACCACAGCAACCTCGGCAAACCTTATACATAAAGCGGAAGTCTCTACCAAACGTTATCGTCCAACACATCCCCCAGCTCTCAGCAACCCAACGGACTTTCCTTTGGCTTTTGCTCAAGCTCGAACTCCTCAGGAGGAGGTGGCAGATATCACTACGAATCTCAGCGAGGACCCTTCACGATCAGATAACGCTCTCTGCGAGACTTCACTATCGAATAAATCCTCTTGTGATCGGGTATTGAAATTGAAATCACCAGCAAATTTCCGTGGTGAAAGCAACATCCCGTCTCATAGCTTGCCTTCCTGTTCTTTGAGCGTGGACCGCTCCCTCTCCGATTCTATGGCTATAACGACTAAAATATCTATGCGAACGCTCAAGGCTACTCGCCGTGGCTTCATCGTCGACTATGACGACCACAAAGCCAGCACTCGCCCTTACGACGATAACGACTCGCACTCCATTTACGAAGACACTAACGTATTTACGCCATCTCATTCAACTGGCAGCAAACCCTCATCTCCCGTCCGGAGTATATCTCCTCGACCACAACAATCGGGAGGACCACTGCGCACCCTTCGTCGTAAAAAGCACCTTCGCGTCAACGTAGTGCAACCATATGGCGACGATACTGAAGCATCTGAGCCTATTGCTATCTCATTGCCACTGCACGCTGAACCAACTTCTGAGCACTCGCAGTCCTCAAAAACAAGCCCTCACGTTGCATCGTTACCACCACACAGACCGGTTTCAACTATCTCCTTGAAGAACAACAACCTAGCTCCCCTTGTTATTTCGCCCATGTCAACGATTGAAGAACCTATCAGCACTCCACCTCTACCCTCCCAAGCGAAAGATCAACAGTCCACTTCCCCCTCGCCTACTGCCTCGAGTCCAGTAAAACTCGGCCATCCCAGCAGGCCTTACTACACCGCCATCCGCAAGAATGGCATTTCCCCACCTTCATCGCGTCCCTCTTCCATAATCGGTCCCAGCTCAACGTCCAACGCTCACATCCGACCTAAATCATACAACCCTCCCTCCTCATTCCACATGAACCCATCAACACTCCCCAGCTCTAGCGGTGCACGACACATGTCCATGTCTGCTGCGTTCTCTCCAGGCATGTCCACCAGCTTCTCAGCCTTCTCCGTCCAAGATGATGACGCCATCTCTGACGACGATGTCCCTGTATCGCCCCCTGCACTCGCACCTGCGC